CAAATTATCTCCAAACTAACTCCCCATAAAAGAACTATCAAAACTTGTCAATATTTTCAGGACCCTTTTCTAAGTCCTCGCTTCTTTCTTTTATAGTTTTCCAAGAGGTGCCTTGGGATCTCTTCAAAATGTGTCTTGATTCGATGTATTTGCCCAAGAGACGCATCCTTTCATGATAATTTTTGTCCATGGTGGTTACAACCACCTATTAAGCCATTGGTTGCCTCAAAAATCTTTTCGAAATTCACGAGAACCGATTTTACTCGTCTAGTAACTGCCAAGCGGGGTCTCGGAGCTTAGGCACGGCCTTCTCTGTTTAACCAGCGCTAAAGCACCAGATCTAGCGCTTAGGCGCCAAAACTCTTTTGCACAATTTTTCACCTTTTTTGCTTCAAATTTGATCCTTTTTCGCTCCCTTAAGCATTTTTTCCATTTTTACTTGTATCAGCAAGAAAAACACAAAAATACCTTTCATTAAAGAGCAATATCTCAAAAATAGGTATAAAAATGTGTCTTAAAACACTATATATTTTAGGTATATCAAAATACGTCACGTCAGCCACATAGCTATGGGAAACAGTTTTATAGATTCCCGCGGAGAACCATGGAGAAGTGTGGCTTCTTTTGGTGGGCATATAGGCTGAAAGATTCCATCGCATAGAGTGATTGAGAATGGTTAGTATCCTTGAAGGACGACGTAGATTGTGACATATATCGTTTGCATTTTAAAAGTAATATTATTATATTATTAATTGTTATTTTAACAGTTTTTTTTTTTTATTTTAGTAATCATGATACACACTTTTAAGTGAGTTGTATATCTTATTTTTTGTATTATTTTGAAGTGAATTTTTGCTTTTAAAGTATCAAATATATTGGTATGATGGTTCTCTTACAAACACCATTACCACACAGATGATTATTTGTCCAGAAACAGCTGCAACACAACTATTTTCAAACTGTAAAAAACAAACAACCAACCAGCTAATCCTTAGCAGCTTCTGTGTAGCAGCTTCCTGTGGCAGCTGTTGTGAAGCAACTTATTAATAAGCTGCAGCTGCCCCAAATCAACCTTGGTCTCAGAAAGCTACAATTATACAAATATTTAAAATAGCATTGAAAACTGACTAAGTCGCAATTAGGGTGTGAGACTCAACTGATAAATTACAGTTGAATCTGATGAATCTGATGAACCAAAAAGAAAACATACAGTATGGTGCAAGGTTATTATTGATGGTTGCACGATCTTACAAGAAAAGCAAAGAAAATTTGAGCGGACACCTCCGTCTTAAAACTTTTGATATCAGTGTTTATCCATATTCCTTTCGTTCCTGTTTCGTCATATACAATAGTAGTATGGTCATTTACATACGATCACCTAATTCTTATGCATTTACATATTTAACATTAAAACTTAAATTCTTACAAACATAACACTCTAAATTGTTAGTATCATAATTTTCAATTTTTTGACCTTTTTATTTATTATTATTTTTTTATATATCAAATTCATACTTGTTTCTTCATTACTATATTAGATAAATGTATTTTCTCTTGGCAGGTTGAAGCTTAGCTTCTTGTTCTTTCAGTTTTGAAGATGATTAAGGAGAACTACCAGCAAGGTGTGTGATTCTCATTTCATGTGTATCTATGTTAGGGGAATTTACACACAACTCATATGGTACTTTTTATATATCAAGAAATGTAGACTTCGCAAATTTGATCAGGAAGCCAGATAGATCAAGGAAGCATGCAGAGCTTCGTTCTCCGAAGCCCAACAACCAAAATCAAAAGTTTGGTATTCCATGTATTGATATGATGCCAAATATTTCATGTTATGTATGTATGTAAATATGAGAGTTTATGTGTTGTGCATGTAATTATATTGCATCTTTACCTCATGTTCTTAACTCTTTTTTAATGATCATTTATAAAGTACATTAATAAATCGGATGAGTCTTTAGAACATTATGTTCTTATGTATTTACATATTATATTTCCCGTGCACATTCTTATATATTTTGTTTTCTTATAATATTTACATACATACCACTAAATACTTATGTATTTGCATAAAAATGGGTGGTATATATGTAAATACGCCTTTTAAAAATATTTGCATAGAATTGAATGGTATACATTTCATTTGCTTGTTGAGAAGAATGATTTAGAGCCGCTGAATTATTTGAGTTTCACTCCGCGACATGAAAACCAAGTAAGGCCCCGTTTGGGGCAGCTTATAGTTGCGGCGGTGTTTTCAAAACGTCACCTACCTGTTTGGTTCTCGCGGTGGAGCCGTGTATTTCAAAATCACGGTTTAGGTTTTATATTACACACAGATCGCGGGTCCATCCCCGTGATCCCCGTTTGCCTTCCTAGGTTTCCTACGGTGCCCCGCTCGGCGCTCCTCTTCTTTCGTAGCCGATAGCTCCTGCGGTAAGGTTTTTTTCTCCTCTCCTCCGCTCTTCTCATCCTTCTCCTCTTTTGTTTCTCCTCTTTTTCGTACTCGGCTCTCCTTCTCCTTGGCCGATCGCTCCACCAGTAAGGCTTTTTTCTCCTCTCCTCCGCTCCTCCCTCCACTCTTCTCGTCCTTCTCCTCTTTTGTTTCTCCTCTGTTTCTCCTGGAAGATTTTAGTAGCTCCCTTTTTAGTAGATCCACTTGTAGATCCAGTAGTTTTCATTGAATGTGGAGTTGAATATGCACTTGAATGCGGGGGAAATGTAGATATGTGATTTTAACGTTTTTTTTACCATATTATATGCAGAAGAATTTTGAAAATGTTTAATCCCTGTATTTTTTTCTCTGGTAAATATTAAAAGAATGCTGAATTTTCTGTTACATGAGTGCTTGTTAGATATGGATCATTCTGTTAATGAGTGCTTGTTAGATATGGATCATTATGTTGAAAATCGCGACTGCTACAATTACCTGTTTTCCAATGTGAATGCCATCTGTATTTATGATCCAAAGAGGCTTGCTTGTCATGGTGGCATTAAAAACACGATTTACTGTTTCTTTAGCATATAATGCTTATTTGGGTTATGTTTGGAAAATTGCAGTATTACAAAAATTGTCTGCAACATTGAGCATTGTAATCCCTCAGAGATCTTCTCATTTACAAAAATTTCATTTAGTAATAATATATCCATACCTCAAATATTTAGATTTCATTGTTTAGATCTAAGCATGTCACACAGAAGGGAATGAAGAGATACTGCTCATTATTGTGTTTTACGGGTAGATGTGTCCTTCTCCTAAACTTTCATTTGTTCATGTATGCTAGCCCCTATCTGATGAAGTTGCTATTAAATCTATGAATGCAAAGGAACTTAAATGTTGAGTATGTAAATCTTCTTTCTCTTTTAAATATGAACATTTGCACTACTTGGTCAGGGAATCATAAAGGCATCAAATTGTTGAGAAATGTTTGGACACCACTGTGTTATAAGCATGGACATCAAAATTTGGGTTGTTGAATCAGGCCTTTGATCTTAAAACTCTCTTCTCATTCTTATGTGCTCTGGAGATGTCACTATTTAGGAGCTTTGAGTTGATTCTTGTCCTACTTTGTTCGGGACATAGGTTTATTGTGAGGGAGGATTATCAATCTTCAATACATGCAATACAGATTTATGAATTGCAGCTTATATGTTCAGATGACTCACTTCAAATGAGGCCTAGTAGAATAATTATTATGCTTCCCTTCAAAAAAAAAAAATTTTGTTGTACATACAATTTTTCTATTGAGCACCTTTATATTAATGTTATCTTCTTTAACTCAAAGTGAAAATGAGTAAATCTAAAGAATCTGGAACATCGGCAATGTGGGATAAAGAAACCACATTGACTTTTTGTGATCTTTGTCCGAGGGAAGTTGAGTTCGGTAATAGGCCGACCACTTTTTTCAATAAAGAAGGTTGACAGAATATAACCGTTAAATTCAAAAAAATCACCGAGAGGGATTACGATCGGATAAAACTTAAAAATAAATGGGATCAATTAAAAAAAGAATGGAAAATATGGAAAGAACTCAAAAGAGGATCAACATGATTGGGTTGGGATTCAATTAAACGGACAATAGATGCACCTGAAGAATGGTGGGCTCAGAAGTTAGAGGTAAATACATACTCCAGCTTTTTGGATTGATTGCATCGTCCTTAATATTTTTACTAATGATTTATATATTATATTCCTGGTGGTGCCAGCAACAAAAAAGTTCAAACTTAGCGGCATTGATCCAATATTAGAGGAAAAGTTGGATGGCATGTTCATAGGTGTTGTCGCTACCGGAACTCATGCTTTCACCCCAACTAACCAGAGCTTTCCTAGTTTAACACATAACATGGCATCCGAGCACAAAGGTGAGTCTGGAGAAGGTCCCAGTCAACTCCATATAGATGTTCAATCAATTGGTGGGACAAAGCGTCCCAGAGCGGAAAAGAAGAAAGTTGGAGCCACATTTGTCAGAGGTTCCCTAGAGACGCTACTTGAATCTTGCAAACCAAAGACTGAACCACCACCGACACCAACAACAAACGACTACTCAATTCATGAGTGTCTTAAATCTTGAATATATATCCTGGTGTTAAGGAAGATGAACCCATGTATTTAAAATATGTGAAGTTGCTAGGGAACTCCACTCGTAGACAGTTCTTCGTATGTTATGGACTATTTGCTTATATGTCTTCTTTTAACTTTAAATCATTGTTTGTGTCTTTACATTTACGTCTTCGTTTAACTCTCACACTGTAGTATCTTTTCTTAATACTTCAAGTCAACATTATACATTTTTAAAAATACATGATTTACCACATTTTGTAGAATGGATGAAGAACAACTTAACAACAACCGCATAGTTGCTCTCTTCCTCATCTTCCTACACTACTACTATCACACATACGTTGACCGAACCCCTTGTATGACATCAAGTCAGATTGGGGATAAATGGGTTGGAGAGTTATTACATGGACACCCGACAAGGTTTGCAAATATATTCCGTATGACCAAGGTGATATTTCTCGACCTGCTTAATGAGCTTCGGGACCTTTATCTATTACACGGGTCATCAAGAACAACTGCCAGAGAGGTATTGGCAATTACCCTGTATATCTTATCCCAAAATGAATCTATTAGAGGAGCTATGGAGCGGTTCCAACATTTCTCAGAAACCATTAGTAGATATTTCTCTGTGGGTTTGAATGCGCTGGTGAGTCTGGCATACAAGATCATAAAGCCCGATGATCCAACGTTTCAGACCATTCTCACACAAATTGCAAATGACCCTCGATACATGACCTTCTTCAAGGTAAGTGCCCAACATAATATTCAACATAAATAAAAAGTGTATATTGATTTTGAATGGTTTATGGGTACTTTACGCGCCACAGGACTGTATTGGAGCTATTGATGGAACACACGTCGATGCACACTTGCCTCTTGCAGAGAAAGTCGCTTACATCGGACGGTGTGGATCTCCAACACAAATCATCATGGCCGTGTGTGATTTTATTATGTGTTTTACTTTTGTGATGGCTGGATGAGAAGGTAGCGCATACGATAGTCATGTTTTCAAGTTTGCTACTAGGAACCTAGAATATGGGTTCCCTTACCCTCCTCCTGGTACGTATATTTGGGACATTAATATTGCGTTCTTGGGCCAACATTTATAGCTAACATCACGCAACAGGTAAGTACTACTTGGTCGACACTGGATATCCCTTGCAAAGGGGGTTTCTTAAGCCGTATCTAGATACAAAGTATCACATCCCAGATTTTGAAAGGTCCAGTGGTGTAGCATGCGGAAAAAAAGAATTATTCAATAAAATACATTCATCACTGCGAGGGGTTATTGAAGGATCTTTTGGAGTATGGAAGAAGAAATGGGTAATATTGCGTGATATGTCCACTTATCCGTTTCCAAAACAGGTCCAGATTGTAGTGGCTACCATGGCACTGCACAACTTCATTAGACGACATCCTTCAAGAACTGATGCAGAATTTGCTGTGGTTAATGCGGACTTAATACAAATTCCCTCTGAAGCATTCGAGTATCATGTTGGCCACACCATACCACAACTTACAATTGATTCACCTGAAAAAAACACAAGAGATGGTGAAGGGGCATCTGAAATGGCAGCTTTGAGAGATGGAATAGCTGACGAGATTAGTGAAAATTTTAATTAATGTATTCTTAACCTTTACAAAACAATTATGTTATTAGTTTGGTTGTACATCATTTGTTTGACTTATTATATGGTCGCTATGACATTGACTTTGATAAGGGAGAAGTTTATCATTGAAATTGGAATTGATTACTCTTGTGAGAAGCTGGTGTTTCCTGTCTTATTTCGTTGGTTGTTGTATTGTTCAAATACATATGGATTTTTATACATTTACAGGTATACCATTTAATTCTTGAGTATTTACTATTCAATTTCTAAACTTCAGTTCAATACACACATGCTAACCGATTCTTATACATTTACATATCTAACACCTCTCAATTTTTTTTTACATTATCAGTATTTATGATTTGCGATTCAGATTTGGGAAAACTAGTTTTCTTGCATTCTTTTATAATTCTACTACATACTTTTTATTGGGAGATGAACATATTCTGCTTTGAATATAAATGTACCTGGGAAGATTTCTTATATGCACCTCTTTGATGACTATATATTCACAAACTAAATATTGAACTATCTCACATTTATGCCACCTAAAGCTTTCTCACCAACATATGAGATGTATAGTTTTTAGAATCCGGAGATATTTGAATGTGGAAAGTTTATTTGAATCTGAAAAATTGTTATATCGGAATGGGTTATTAATGCATCCAGAATTTATTTTGGTGACTCGGTTTTACTCCTTATGCTACTACTTTGGTTTGAATGCATGTTGAGATGTGTTTTAATCTGAGATCTGTTTTAATGGTGAGAAAGATATATATGGGGCTCAGTTTTTTATGCTTTTTGCTGTCCCTTGTTCAAATATCTGTTGGAATTCATTTTTATGGTTCTAACGATATACATGGGGCTCGGGTTTGATGTTTTTTATTTGTCCCTTGTTCGCATACCTGCTAGAGGTCATTTTATGGTTTGAAAATACTCTTGGGGCTCAGTGTTTTATGCTTTTTGTTGTCCCTTGTTCAAATATCAATTGGAATTCATTTTTATGGTTCTAAGGATATACATGGGGCTCGGGTTTGATGTTTTTTATCTATTGGAATTCAAATACTCTTTTTGGTAATAGCTGATCAGCTACTACATTCCAAATCTTGGTTGAATTTGACTAATTTCCCAGATTGAGCTAGAGCTTATGCCTGAGTTGTTTCACTGTTTCAATAAGGCATTTTTTTTTTACAAATGAACTTTGTGACATTCTCCTTGAATCGTGAATATCATGGATGTCATTCTTGAATCGTGAATACGGTAGCGTGATTATGTTTACCAACTTTGCTTTAATGCAATGTTGTTGTTATAGTTGTTGTTATGGTTGATGATATGCTTGTTGTTGTAGTTGTTGTTGTCTCAATTTGATGGTTTGTAGGCTGCCATCACACTCATGTGCTCCCATTTGTGATTGTAGTGTTGGATTACTAGAAGGATTCTCTATGAAGTTTTTCTAGTTAGATTTACTAGAAGGATGCTCTATGAAGTTGATAAGTGTTTTGTTTGGGAGAATTTTGTGAGGCAGTACAACTATCTTGCAACACTGATCTAGAAATTTGTGATTGTAATACTAGAATAATTTATATTCGAGTGCTGTCATCACACTCAAGTGCTCCCATTTGTTGTCCCCCATGTATTTGTTCAACCTCTGTTCTCTATTGTCCTATATTCAAAAAAATTTGGCACTTTAGGATGGCTTAAATAATTACAGCAACCATTGTGCCATTTATTTTTTTGATGATGGGATTGGGGAATCAAGTATGCAAGTCATCATCTTTATCTTACAAAAGTGTTAGCAAATCTTTTCTTGGAAGATTTATTAAAGTCTAGTAATGTATGTTAATTTTTTCTACCGTAATATGACACTTTGGTGAAATTTACATACCTAGTGCATCATTCTATAAAGTCTAGTAATGTATGTACCCAAGATAGTTCGTATATGTTTATATTCATGTGTACATACATATGAGTATAGCAGTTGTATGTGAAAATATGAAGTTTTAGAAAGTTGGCAGTTGTGTTCGTGTCTATTTAACTAATAAGTATAGAACTTTGGTGCTTATATGATAATAGTGTTATTTTAGAGTGCTATGTGCAAAAATATAAATATAAATGTGATATTAAAGAGTTGAGTG